TACCTTTTAGAGAAGTGATTATATTTGTATGCCAATATTTTCCTATGGTAAAGTTTTCGTTTTGCACTTTTATTTTGATAGTAATAAGATCGGGACTCTTATTTTTGAAGGAACTTTTACCGGTTAAATCGGTTTACTAATAAAGATTAACCCCCAGAAAGCAGATGGCTACTTAGCATGCAAAAGGACGTCATTCTTAGATCGTGTTACTCTGATGATAGTGTTCAAAACAGCCTATATGTCTGAACTCGATCCTTAGAGTAATGTGTTACGGAGCCTTCTCTTCAATATTGTTTCCACATAACGAGCATTTTGCGCTGCTCTTTTCCAATGTGGAAGCAGAATGTGTGAAAGCATACAGCACGATGCGGGGTGTGTCTCTAGACATCTTTAGACTGGAATAGCGGGGCCCAGTACTGAACTCGCCTCGCAGGTGCACACGCCAGGACAGAGGACATCAGACTCCAGAGAAAACTTGCTCGAGTCCAAGTCCGAGTCATCATTACCTGTGTTCGAGTCCGAGTCCAAGTCCGAGTCACCCAAGGAGTGTCCGAGTCGAGTCCAAGTCATCATTATCTGAGTTCGAGTCCGAGTCCAAGTCATCATGTACGAGAATTCACGAGTCCAAGTCCGAGTCGCGTCAATCAGTGCGCGAGTCCGAGTCGAGTCACGAGTCCCGAAAATCGGCACTCGAGTCCGAGTCCAGGACTCGAGTACTCCATCTCTGCAATTTGGTGCTATATATATATATATTTTTTTTAAATAAAATAAAAAAAACACCTTGAATTTCAGGCAGCGCACTGCCAAGACAATGGTAGGGGAAACACTGGACTGCTTGAGTTTTCAAAATGCAATTAAAGTAAAAATAAAAGCCCCCATTCATTTTCCTCAATGTTTGATGTTTTCTGAGCCTAGAAGATTCTACAATAAAAATGTACAAATAATTAGAAAAAAAAAATGTATGAAGGCTCTATTTGAAAAATTCTCCACAAAGAATTCAACACAGTTTTACAAAGCTTTTGAAAGTGATACGACTGTACCCTAACCCTAATTCAATTGAATATTAGCACATATTTATTTGATCTTGTTAAACAAATTGGTCCATTTAGACTGGAGAAGTGGAACGGCTTTAAATAAATCATGGCATTTATTTAAAACAGAAAAAAAAAACATTTAAAAGGTTTCCGATCCTGTTCTATGATATGTAGTTCTTTACAATAAATAATAGTGTCTTTCAGCAAAAGTTTGTCATTGTGAATACAAATTAAATAACATGATTGTTCGGCAGAGCGCTGCAGCTGCTGTTGGCATGCTGGCAACAATAAGTTAAGAATGATTAGAAAGTCTGAGTTGTTTACCAAGGTTTTTTTTAAAGTACTGGTATGTAATGTGTTACTCACTCTCCTGGCCCTCCGCAGTAGCAGTAGCAGTGCTGGATGTTAGTCGTGTGGCCCTGATCCCAGACCAGTTCTTCCAGAGCGTATGGGAGAGTCAGGTGCAGCCCCATGTGCTGCTCCTGCTCCTGCTGTAAACCACACAGACAAAAAGCATATTTATACAGGCATTAAACTATGTACAGTGCACACAAACAGTTTTTTCCCTGATTATCTAGTACTCTAGTGTCTTATCTTCACTTTGCATCACAGTTAAAGCAGAGCAAATATTGAGTCTCCCAAAATAGGTGTCATCTAAAAACATGCTCATTTAATCAAAACAACTCAACAAAAGGTATGATGCATTTATACACAAATAAGAGCTGTACCTTAGGTAAAGAAGTGAGCTCACACTCTGAACAGAGCCACTTGTCATCAGAGTCGATGACAGAGGCATCGATGATGGGAGAGTGGCACAGCTGATGGTAGCCTAAAAGACAAACATCACATTTTACATGCAGCCGTCATCTAATGCAGTGGTTCCCAAACGGAGGTACGGGGACCCCTAGGGGTACTTGAGGGGATTACAAGGGTTACTTAGAAAGATTAGAGATTGCAATATATTTCCACACAAAAAAACATTTGAAAATAAATGTCATTAGCCTGGTGTCCTCCACCCAGAACTATCACAGCCTATGAAAGACAAGCAAACTCAAGTGTCTCATTAAAAGCTCTAGTCCTAACAAAAGCTGTTGCGACTGCTTCAAGAATAAGTGTAAATGCATTTAAAAGGTGGGTTAGGTAATTCACTTCAGAAACACTTTTTGTTATATTCCATGGAATGCTCTTAACATCCCGATAGCAATGAATATCTTAAATGCTTTGACAATAAATCCATAAAAAAAAGTCATCTGTGGAAGCCGTGGTGCTGTAAAAAGCACGACCAATCATTTGAGCCGGCCCGGCTAAAATAACTGGATGGCCTACCTGCCTGTCAGCCTTCCATCTGTGCACAAACTTATCTCGTGCCCTCATTGGTCATGTGCGTGTTTGTGTGTTTGAGGAGGGGCATCTGTAAGGACAAGTCGATGGAAGGGGCAGATTTTTTTTCGGCTGCCTACTTTCAAACTCTAGCGCACTCCAGCTGGTTTCTCCATTCTTACCTAGCCTACCCTTAAGGGTGACTTATAAAAGTGATTTAATGCAAGGAGCAGTTGGGTTAAATGTGATTAAAAAGGGTTTAACACAAGAACAAATATTCAGGTTCTTATAGAATGGAAACAAGCCTTAATGACCAGAAATTAGAATTCAAAAAGGTAGTTTATAGAATAAAGAAAATGTTAATTTTACTCAAACCTTTAAATAGTCAAATCAGAGAAACTGATAATGCTGCAGTGGTCTCTTAATTTTCTCCAGATCTGTACATCATAATATCAAAGGACTGTTATAACAGCTTTGTTGACTGTTAGGTAAAAAGACCAGAGTCAATTAACTTTACCTTGGCCACACTTGTCACAAATGACAATTTCATTGGGTTCGTCGGAAGTTTCGTCCTGGCATATAGAGCACACAATGTCGTCGTCCTCATCATCTGCATCATCTTCATCCCCTGAAACAGACACAGTGCTAGATGAGACAGAGTAAGGGCTAACAGAGTGCCTGGATTCACTTGTTAGTTTTTTTCTATTGTAGATTATCCTGATTGATCAGCACACCGTTTCTGAAAAACTGTTTCGCGGGTTAACAATAGATGGAAATCTTAAAAGTATCTTAAACCCAGGCGGTTATTCTGTTGCACCTGTAACCACACCACACAGTGATGGCAGGGTGTAGTGCAACACTGAAATGACTTTTCTCAGTTTGTGGAGCTATGTAAGAACTTCAACCATCAGAAGTCTTTTAATTGCTGTTGACCTTTTAAAGATTTAGTCATAAACTTTTGTCTCTCCCATCTGGCAGTGATAGTTAGGGATGGACAAAAAGGACATGTTTCTAACACAGGGTTCCTGCAGGTTTCACCAACACAAATTTAATACTTTTAAGACCTTTTTAAGACCACTTTGAATAGAATTTAAAACCGATTTCACGGCATGAAAGTATGAAGGAAAATTGCTCTGAAAGAAGAAATTACTTACAAAGTAAATGTTCAACATAAGAACGATGTCCACAGCACCTCCGCTTTTAGGGTTGACGCAGACCCAAACGTCACCCGGAGGTCCCCCGATGTTGTTGTTGTTGTTGCGGGAGATGCTGCACTAGCTAACGCTGCATTAGCAAAACAAACGCAAATTTCTTTTGCAAAAGGTGCAGCGGGCTTCAAACACGTTCCCTCCACTAGTTTCAACCAAGCACTAGATTCAATGTTTTCCAACCAAATACGGTTGAACTTACACTTCCCCATATTTATTTGTAAGTAGATTCGAAGATACCTGAGTTTCTGACTGCCGCTAGCTGAAGCTTGGTTGGTTGCTAGGTTACAAGCTGGGTGTTCTCCGATAAGGGGCCGGGGGAAACAAAGTTAGTGATTACTGGTTTCATGTTGATTTATTTCCATACAAATTGTTGGGGGGGAACTGAAAGGCTCTTACTGGTTACTTTGCAGCCCGGACATTTCCCCCAAAACACATTTGGACGCGATCGCAACACAGAAGCCCCTTTCAAATCCGATCATTTTTAAGACCTTTCTTATTTTTTTGATCATATTTAAGACTTTTTAAGGCCTTAAATTCTGATTATCAAATGTAAGACTTTTTAAGACCCCGTGGGAACCCTGTAACATTAGATGCTGAAGAAAACAAAATAAACTAAACGGTCAGAGTAATAATTATTTTGAAATGCATGAGAGAGAGTGCTCCCTGGGGAGATGCAGCGAGCCCATCTGAAGGTCAGAGTTGCAAAGTTGCCAGAGACTTAATCAGCATTGTGTGATGAAGCTCTTGTTTAATCATTAAAAGGTGGGGTAGGTACGAATGGAGAAACCAGCTCAAGTGCGCTAGAATTTGAAACTACGCAGCCGAAAAAAATCTGCCCCTTCCTTC